CGGCACAGAAGAACGAACAAAACAAAAACAAACTACAAAAAACTTTGCAATACAATACTACAGTACCACCAGTATTGACAGATCCGATCTAATCTGGCTGTAGCAGAAGGTTTTCTCCCCACCATGTTAAATTCTGTTCTGCACAATCTATTTTTAACTATTAGTATAAATTTACCAGCCAGCTTACACTGTGTATAAATACGAGGGAAGAAAAAGGTAAAACTATTGCAAATAAAGTAACAGCTGAAATTCTGAAATCTGGGATGACTGCCAAAGAGGTCAATCAAATAGACATAGGAAAGTTGTTAAAATAATTTCCAATTCACAGCTCAATTTAAAAAAAAAAAAAAAAATGCTGTATTGCATTTTGATCTATACCATATCTGACAAAAAAGTTTTCAAAATGCAGCTACCACTTTTGTAGTGGAGGAATCTTCCACATTTCTATACAGCGTAGTCTGTGCCACCCCTTTCTTTTTTTTATCTGATCCAATCATTATTTCAAGATTAGCAACCTGGATTGCTAGCACATAAAGCATTTGATAACACTTCTGATGTTATCCACTCCATTGGCACTGATCATCCAAAACAATTTTAGGTAATCAGTAGGTACTAAACGAGTACTAAACATCAGTGACAGCTCGGTACTTATTTAATATACAAAACATTACTGGTTCCTCATTTCTTGACAGTAGAGGTCCAGGGTATGGGATTAGCAGTCAGAACACCTGGCACCAAACATACCAAACAAGTAGTGATTTAATTTGGGGTGGAAAGAAAAAGGTAGTAGACAGAAAGAGTCAAGGTCCTACTCGCATAACTGTTCACCTCCATCTTAAGTCTCATGAGATTGGCTGTCCTCAAAGATACAACAGACTACACCAACAAATGAACCTGGCAAACAGACCGCAGAGAACCTTGCCAACATACTCGAGATATGTATTACTGAATCCTGAACCAGCTCTGCAGCCTTCCCCTAGCAAATTGTGCTGAAGAAAGGAAATGTTATAAAAAAATAAGTGCATGTATTAAAAAGCACCATGCATCTTGGTTTCCCGCTATCTAGCTGCTAACTTGATGGCTTTTAAGGTTATGCAAAAGGGCATATGAAATCTTTTTAGCTGTATTTCTAGACGGCATAGCCTGTGCACCCCATAGCTGAAAACAGGAAAGCTGGGATAATGTGTTCTTCTGGAAGTATAGAAAAGAAGTTTTCTTTTGTTTGTAAAGCGTCGTCAGTGTAGCCTGAGCTCTGTCCTTTCTCAGGACTGTTGAAATTGACTTCCTCTCCCAATTTGTCACCCAAGGACTTGGATTTTGATGGACAGCATTATAGAAAACCTGTCTTTATGCTCACAAATTAGGTTTTCAGTTGTAATCACAAACCACTAAATGTTCTGTGATTGACTCTGTGTGGAAGGTGGTCATGTTTCACGCATTCAAATACCGACCTTTGGACTTCTATTTTAGTTTTTAAACTAATACAATTTTCTCCCTCACAAATTAATTCAGAAAGGAAAACACTGTAGGATTTCACCTTCAGTCTTGTACATTTCTATGCAGGATTTTAACTCTTCTTACTGTTTTCAAATTCTTTAATTTATACCACTCCACTGTCAGAAAGGCAAGTTAATTATGATAATTCTGGTTAAAAAAAAAAAACACCACCAAAACCAGGATGTCCTCCATATAAAGCCGAACACTTCCCAATTTAGATATACGCAGACATCTCACTACTTGCTGCCTTAAAAGCTGAGTTGTACATCTCTTCAGTGAGCTGTTCCAAAGGACTTCCAGGCTGCCTAGTTTGGTTAAATATTCAATATGACTTCTTTACAATGTTTTTTTCAGGCTTTAAAAGACCAGCCTTCTCTAGAAATCTGCTTTCCTGGTTTAAATGTCCATTCCTCCACCTGCCAGCCTGCATGCTAGATCAGTGCTCCCCACTGTCCCCATTCATCCCTTCCACTGCTCACAAACGCGTTGGGCACAGGCAGCCAGGCCACAGGCCCGCGCCTCATCTGCCCCTCCCCGCTTCCCTCCCAATACCGCCCTGCCCGGCACTCTCAAACCTGGCAGCCAGAAGGTTAGAGCACTTTGATCTCAGCTGCTGGCTTCTGCAGACCATGCTGTCTTTGAAGCATTTTTACCATCATCTGTACATGATCTAAATCAACGTACAGTCTTCCGGAGTTTGCAGGCTTCCCCCATTCATTCGTTGCTTACAGATTTCCAGACCGCTGAAATGGGCACTGTTGGAAAGGAGGCTATGGTCTGTGAATGAACACCTTTGCCAGACACAGCAGAAAAAGGATTCTGACCTTTTATTTGGGCCTGCATGGTGCTCTGACAGAACACCAATTTATATGCTTCTTATTTAAAAAGAAAAAAGCACACTTGAATACTAGTTGGGTTTAAAAGTTAGCAATCCTAACAAAATCACTATGGCAAGTAAAACTACTCCACTAGACAAGGTACTGCATTTCCCTCAGAAATGGTAGATATTTCTAATGTAAATCCATATAAACCAGATAAATCTGTATTGGCCATATGCTAAAGATACTGCCCAAAAAGTTCTCCAACAGCAAAATGAGAGCTATGACAGAGCCATCGCACTGAGCTATGAAACAGCTTATTGTAAACAAATCAATGATTATTTAAAAAAAACAACCAAACCAATACAAACTAACCTGTAACTTTAATTTAATACCCCACATAATGAATTATGCAGAACGTCGGCAAATAAAACACCACATGACCAGCTATTGTATACACAGTGTAATGTGATTTAAGGAAAATTTAATGCCAGAATATAGACCAGTTTGTTCTGATGTTGCCAGTACAGATACGTATCATCTATCAAAACTTAAAGGAAGTAACCGCCTAGTAATTTCAAAATATAAAAGGTATTTAGCTATGTTGCTTTTTAGTGTACTGCTCAAAGTTTCAGTAGTATGGAACAGCTGCGATAATTTGATTTGCACAACACAACTGTGCAGTAGCATACAGTAGATAATAGCTGTTAGAGGTCCTGTAGCGAGTGCCCCAACATAAACTGATGGAGCATAGTTCTTATAAGCAAACACCTACATTTTGTTTTGTTTTTTAACAGCTGTTTACTTATGCATTGTGTTGGCATAATAAAAATACTTGAAAAAGTGTCCTACCTGCATTCACACAATTCTCAGTGTCATAATGCCAGTTATGTTCATTGAATGAAAGATTTATTTTTAAGCACAATAAATTTCAAGTCTTGTAATGCTCAAGGGAATTGGTTATTATATAGCTCATCCGAACTGTTTTAACCTTTGGGCTGCAATAATGTGTATTTTTAACAAGCTGTCCTTGCATTCATGCAAGAGAATACCATTGCCATTGATTGACCTTTAGATAACAAATACCTCCTCCATGGTTACATGCGGGTATACGAATGGTGATTTTAAAGCTTTCCTAAGTAAACTACAAGAATATAGACAAAACTTGTTTTCAGAGTTGAATTTTATACACATTATACATACTTCAGACCATTCACAATATTACTACATTTTCTTTCAGACCCACTTTTGCTACCGCTGTAGTATAAGGCAATGCTCAGACACTCTATAAACATAAAGAGCGATTTAAATGACCTGTAGGCTGATTTTGTTATGCTTCTGCCCGACAGGAATGGTTAGTAGGAAGCTAATCCTGCTATGGAAAATTAAGGAAGCATTAAGAAGGGTGGTGAAGGATATCAATATTGTTCTGTAAAGTTCCCCAATGGAGAACAGCAGAGCAAAAGCCTAGGTTCCAAATCTTAAGATTTTCAACAGCAGCAGCTTACTAGCAAAACAAAAAAAAGTTCTTATTTTTGCTAGGAATGGACCTTACTCAACAAAAAGATCCCATTAAACAGCTGTTTATAGAAGGTCCAAACAAACTCATGTCAGAGGAATTTCTTTTATTACTAAAAATCAGCATATTCAAAGTCTTGCTGAATAAGAGATACTGTATAGCTACTGCCACTCAGTCATAGAAAACAATTGACTGCCTCTTCTAACTATTAAATAATTTATATTTTAGTTATCATCTAATATTCATTTAAAATTTGTCATTACTGTTTAATGTATTTAATGTATGATATTTTTCATCTCCACTTAGAATATTGTTCAGTTTTCTTAGTTACTTGCCATTTCCCTTTTTGTAAAATGGAAATTTATATCACTACATTTATGCTTCTCCATTAAAATAATTATTTTTGTCATCTTCCAAACTCAATTGTATTGCAATCAATTATCTAGGCTTTAGAATAACACTCCAAAATTGTCATCTGTTGATACTTAGGTCCTACTTTGTCATATTCACAGTGATGTCCCACATTTATAAATATTAATGGTTGACTACTTTTGCTGAATTTGACACACGCACCGACACACAAACTGATGCGAGCTGCATTTTAGTCAGTCTTAATTCTTCACTATAGAAAAGTTGACTGATAACTAAGGAAGATTTTGTTACTGCAGTTTCAGAAACGCAAGTCTTCAGAAAACTGGCCAATTAAATAGCTATATAGTATTAAAAAGAATATTCTGTTAACCAAAATCCAAGTTCTGAGGAAGTTCTGTAAGTAGCTTGAAAGAGCCAAGAGTTTAATTAGAGTTATTTGTTGTGCCTGAACACTCCTGAACGGGAAGAGTTCTGTGGGGCATTCTGTACTAAACTGCCCTATGCCTTTCAGTTACCTGGTTGTCATGAGTACGTATGCACTTATTTTCTTCAAGTGTTTTAGGGATTCTTCAACATGGATTATGGTAAGTACAAAGTATAATACTAAGAGAAACTAGGACTTCCCCCCCTTGCTTAACTGTTACACTGTAGTTAGGTTCCTCATTCGTCCTCTGTTACTTAACTGCATCAAAGCTTAGCACTGAAATACTTCTTTTTTAAAGGGATACACTGATGAGTTCTGCCTTTTGGAAAGCATAAAACCAGTCACTTTTTAATATTTTTTTTTTTTTTAGTGAATGAGATCATAGGAAGAGATATGTCACAGATCTCGGTGTCACATGGAACAACAGTGGCCAGCCAGTCTGCACGTACATGTCCTGGATCTCTGGAGACAAGACTATCTGATGGAATCCAGTAAAGGATAAGCTTACAACTAAACATCCATGAAAACTTAACAGTTTCTCTGAATACTTCTTCGTCCTTTTCCTCTTTAGACTTACTGTGCTTCCAACTCTGTGGCCTTTATGAACTGGAACAGTGGATCCTTGCAAAGCCCTTTTAGTGGGTTACATTTTTGATGTAGAGACAGAGCATTTTAATTATAGTTCCTCAGACGCTGTAAAGAGACTTCTTAAAATGGACACACAGAATCTACACCAGATATTTTAACTGTTTTAAAGTTACAAACAAGCTTTGCTTTTTGCATTAAAATAGAATACTTTTATATTGTAAGTGCTTCAGATGTGTGGAGATGTTAGTTTGCTCTTATAATATTCACAGTACTGAATGTGGAAAAAGATTTAATACACATCTTCAGTGTGCTGCTTTCCCTTAGAGATAGTATAGTTTGTAACTGATGATTTGTAACACCTTTTGGTCATTTTGGAAAGCCCTTAAAGCTTCTATTGTTTAATTTTTTTAATATGATCTTCCAGTGGCAAATCATACCTGTCATCTGAAGCCAATGCCATGGAAGCCATTGTGTATACAAATACTGTAGTTTTTTTTCTTTCTTAGATTCCTAGGAAGCAAAGCCAAATGTAGATCTGCACTTGTTTATAAACTGAAAATGTTACTTGATAGGCTGCAAAAAGACCATTCCATCATGAAAGTGTTGGGATAGAAATGACATTCCAAAATTTACCTTTTATAACTTTGTGGATAATCTTCCTGTTCTTTACTAGCACAGGCTCCTTCTTGAAATAGCTTTTTCTTAGAAAATTACATTTGTAATCAAATTTGAGCAGTAGGATTTTAGATTAAAGAACAGCAACATCAAAGCCATGTCAGATATAGGAGAAATTTTATTATTTGCTGAGGATCTAAGTGTTCCTGTTATCCCTACAGAATATGGTTTTGAAATCTCTAATTCGGTGGCATTCAAATTTTCCATGCAATAAATCATTTGATCACATCCTTATCTTTTACGTGCTGTACGCCTGACCATGCCACTTGGAAGTCCTAAGGAGACGACAATTACAGTTCCTTAAATTTAACCTGTTTATAAATGTCAGTTTTCTAAAAAAGCGTTTACTGTGAATTAGTGATTAGGTAGTATAATTTGCCCATGTTTAATTGTAAACACGCGAAGCAGAGCTACCAAAGCAATATACAAGATTCATAGCAGCAGTAAACTTTGTGCTGTGCTCAAAGGATGCGTTTCCCTTACCCACATACACTGATGCATTTGAAAAAACCTGTTTACATAGTTATTAAAAATCTCAGGCCTCTATGAATAGAAATCTAGGAGAGGATCTGAAACTGCCTGCTTAGGCCACGAACATTTCCCTCCCCCAGAAGACACTGTCGTTTACAAAGCTTTCTGATATGGGACATACAGGGTACAATAATCACAGCAACGTAAGATCAGAACTACGCTGAACCTCAAAACATTTAAGATGTTAGTTTTAGTTCCTCATTTGAGTGAGCTACGATGCTCTAACGAAAATTAAGAACGAATACACTCAAAAAATTTGAAATACAGAAAGTGTATTTGCATTGAAACTAGTTCAGCCAGTTGTGGACATTTTAGTGATTTAACACATGTGGAGCACATGCCTCTTTCTGTAGAAGATTACTATAGACTTAATTAATTAATAAATTAACAGTAAAATGGTCTTAAAGTGGATACCATTACTGAATTGTAATACCTGTAAGAGTACACACGGACTCTACTGATGCTGCCCTTTGGCAGACAGTCAGGGGGGAAAACTTTCCATTGAGCCTTTTTACAGGCAAAACATTACACCTAAATTTAAGTCAGTGCCCAAGCAATGCTATTAAAGTAGCTATAATCGCATCTGTCTCATGGCTGAATCATGAGCATTTAAAAAGACCATATAGTAAGTGGGTGAAATTATAACTCTTTATCAATGTACTTCCTTTTAAGAGTGCAGCCTAAAGCTACAATCTTTACATTTCATAGTTATTTCAAACAACTTAATGCAAGGCCTCTATGTGCGTGCTGGGAATCTTAAGCATCCTTTTTGTGAATGTATTGTTCAATGGTGCAAATCTTCAAATTTGCAGAAAAAAAAATTGGCAGGGCTGTAATCTGAAAATCGTGATATTGTAATTGTCACTCAGCAATGGTGCTTTACTCTGTCCTCTACTCATTTACGTTAAAGATCCTAGAAAAGGATTCACATGCTCAGAAATACATCTACTTACATTTTTAACACCTTAAAAAACAAACCAACCAACCAAAACACACACAACACTGTAAACTATGTAATTGTCTTCAGACTGTGTGCTGGTGGCCAGGCATGTTCCAGTTTTCATTCATGTATTGGGTCTTTTGCATTAACCGTTGTTTGTAGGAGAATTCTAACTTAAAAGCTTTTCATACTGTATGGGATTTATGCTCCTTTATCCTACTGGTACAGACTCTCCTTGCAAGTTCTCCAAGTAGCTGGAATTCACACTGTACCTAAAATATAGGAGCCCAAACAATCCGGAGTTGCTATGCACTAAATTTTCTGATGCCTTTAAATACCTTGATGCCTGTAGACATAGAGATGCTTTCCTATTTAAAAATGAAATAAAAAAAAAATATATATAGCTTTGGATACTAAAGCAGTTTTGTATTTGCCTTGTAAAAGCTTCAATACAAGGGTCTTAATTTTATTTTAGCTTGTGTGATAATGTAGGTAAAGACTGTTAATCTTGTATAATTTTAGTGATATAAAAGCACACAATCTGTATTGGACTATGCAAATTTAATTAACAACAGAACCCGGCAACTGTTGATATTTTGTTGGCATCCACTTCCTTGCCCCCAAGTCCTTTCTTCTCCCCGAGTACTTTTCCAAAACTCTGTAATAATTAAGATTTTTCCTGAAGGAAAGCCTTAATGATGAGGTACCTTTTCTATAGGGAGGGTCAGAGATCAATGTTAAAAACAAAAAATTAAGGGGTAGTATATTAATCCAGGGGGAAAGGTTTGTTATTTCTGAAATTACCACAAACTAGCAATCTGAATTTCTGTAGTAAAACTTTCATGTTATCAGGGGAACTGCCATCCTTTTTAAACCAAAGAATGAAAATGACGTGACAGTTTGTTCTGATACAAACAAAGCTTTGAAACTCTATTTTTGATACTCATAATGGATGTCATTCCTTGAGGTTCGGAAATCGTTCAAATTGAAGTTTTATATTTAAAAATGTGGGACAATAAAGATTAAGTTCTAGATGTTTACAGAGCCTTGTATTGTAATTTCATGTACATTTTGTATTTTAAACATTTTTGTAAGTTATGATTGCAGTGCTACTTGCAGAAATAAAGGGAAAAACTTGCATTTAGGCTCTTAAATCATAGTGTTCAAATAAATAAAAATAATGCAAATGCGTTGTCATTTATTTAAAATGCAGCTTCAAATGTAGAGTGGGAAGGAACTCCCTATTTGTGATGCTGTGGTAAACAGCTGTGTTCAGTTGTGACATAGAAATGAGGGACATGTAATACTCCTCCTAGAAGAGTGATGATTTTGAGGCAATATGATAAGAGTTTGGGGCTTAACTTAGAGCTGGCAACAGTGAGCCTATACATATGCGATGAATGATCAGCAGTGCAGACAGAGTATCAGTTTGCTCAATAACTGGTGATTTCCTATGTGCAAGTATCATTGTTTCAATTAGATGACCATCACAAGATTATTTTGAGAAGTTATTCCAGAAATGATTATTCAGGAGCGCATCAGAAACAGGAATTTCCATTCCTGAAAGGATATTATCATAGGCAAGATGCAGAGAAACTGTTTTAGAAATAGATGTAAAATTCCTACAGTCTGAATTATTTGCCAGCTCTTGGCTGATCAAGCAGTACTGACGGAAATGCCCTTGGGAATGATACAGTAGATTCAGGCCTTAAAACCTACGTCTCATCTCAGCGATATTAGTGCTACTGAAAAGATTTTTATCTCCCTTACAGTTTTGTTACAGGGTCTTTTACTTATCTGTGGAATCCCTAGACATATTAAGGTATGCACATGTTCCAAATTCAACGTTTAAGAAAAAGCTGTGGCCTTTGGTTAGCAATGCACACCTGCCCGAGAGAGAAGACGAGCAGCGATCGCACAGTGATCTCCTACTCACATTGCACAGGGAGAGCATGGGCCAGTTTAGGATTAGCCTCTTATTTAGAGTGCATGTCCTGCCCGATTACCTTCACCAATGTTTTTTATCTATAAATATAGCAGAAAGGGGCAGCTACAGTGCCAGTAACTGAATGCAAAGTAATTATATCTGAGTTTTACTAAAAATAGCACAAGCAGTTTGAAAGCTGTTCCACATGTTTTCTAGTATGATTAACCAGTATATAATTAGCATTTACCAACACTAGTAATAATCCATGGATTGACTGCGTATACTTCACTGTCAATTCAAGTCTTCTTTCAGATGCAAATAGGCTAAAGGCTGATTCACTAAGATTGATGGGATAGGAGAGATGAGAGGATATGCAGTCACGCCAGGGCATTTATAGCTGAGCATGGCTAACCCTGAGCACGCACACTGACACCCGTATCTGTTGTATTTCAGAGAGGAGACTTTATTCCAGGTATTGTGAAAACATCACTTCTACCTTGCAAAACACTGTTTTGTAATTTCAGGTAATCAGAGAGAAGTAATGTCTTATTAAAGTCATTTCCTTTAGAAAAGTAATTAGAATTTTCTCTGCATTTAGGACCCAAACCCAAAGGAAGTGCTGATAGAAATCAAGACCTTTTCATTCTCTTATTGTAGCTAGGATTTAGTTACAATATTCCACAGCATTACTTGTGCTATCTGCTTCCCTCTGCTTAGTTCCAGATTTTGATCCCTTCTCTTGCCATCTCACCCACTGTGTGCTTTGAATCCAATGCTTACGCCACTGTAGTGAATTAGGGGAGGATTGAGATCTTTTCCAAATGCCCCCCCCCC